CATGCCAAAGGCAGCAAAATTGTGTCGCCAATTGCTGGTGGCACATGCATATAAATACACTTAGGAGCCAGGTACATTAACTCCATCAAAAAAGTAGCTACATGATTTTTAAAGAATTTTTCCAAAATTCATTTAAATCAAAAAAGTAAAGTAGTTTTTGCAACAAAGATTAAAAAGCAAATATAAGACTAGGCAAGTCATAAAAGTTTCTTGGCTTTGGACTTACCGTTTTGTACTTAATTTTAAATAATACTTTATATCCTTTTTTTGCAGTGCAAGTGCAGGGGGGTTGGCGGTTTCGAATGACGCATGCAGCGAGTGCCAAGCTCATGGAATTCATGATCAATGACTAGACACAGACACAGGCACGCACACACAATCATAAACAAAATGGAGCAAGAGGGAGACAGGGATAGAAACACAAATTAATGAACACTTTGGCTGACATTTTAAGGACAAGTTCGTCGTCGAATGCGGTTTTGCGGGGGGGAAAACCAAAGGGGAAAGCGGGGAAGTAGCGGGCTGCCTGAGGTTGATGCCTTATGCAATTGGACAGTGAGTGATTGGGGAGCAGGCAATGCTAATGGTGATATATTGTATCTGCTGTCCACTCGCATTGGAAGCCGCTTAAAGGATTGTGGATGGCAAACGGTTGCTGAAAGTTATCTTAAAGACTGGATTATAGGCGCAAAGCTCAGTGAAATATATATAAAGCTGGAGATAAAGATACAATCTCGAGTGGCAACGATCCGAACATCCTTGAGCTGGCTCTGATTGGATTTTCTTGGCTGGTCTTGGTTTTCTGGGGTTTTTCTTGATCCCACATCGCGGCAACCCACTCACATTTGGCACAAGGACAGCCCGCTGAACTAGCTGCTAATTAACTGGCTAACCGGCCTGACTCTTTGCCTTTTGCGTTGGCGGCCTAAGGTCTCCAAGGGAGAGCTTGTATGTAATTCAATCAATGGCAAGACAACAACAGCAGCTGCAACAGCAACAGCAACATGCAACATGCCACCGGCAACCAGCTAAAGTCATTGACAATTGGGGCCAAGACACAAGACAACGGAACAACAGAGGACCACTACAAGGGTCACCTAATCAATGGGTCCACGGATGTTGCAGCAACATGTTGCCGCCGAAGCAGCAACTGCAATGGTTGTTTCGCTTGTCAATAGAAGCGATTTGAAATGGTGGCACTTTTCCGTGTGTGTGTCACTTGACTGCAGCTCCGAAAACGAAAACGAGTGGGTGTTGCTGTTGAGTTGCTGCTATTGCGTGTTGCTGTGGTGCAGCAGCAAGTGTCAACTGCAGCGACAACGGCAACAGCAACATTTTACTGGCAGTTAATGAGCTTATTTATTGATAGCGCAGACAGCGCAGCAGGTACAACTTTTTATGATTACTTTATGAAAGAAAAGGACACAAACTATGAAGGGAATTAATAACAGAAATGAGTTTCCCAACAATTAACTAACAAAGTTGCAAGCAACCAATTATTTTTCTTCAATTTTACATTGCAACTTTAAACGAGGTATACAAAATAAGTGAAAGACCACTTGACCCATCTCCTGACTTATTCAGAATCTTCCATTTACGATCACCACTGCCTGACTCCAATTGACAAGCGCTTTGTGACTTCACTCACGATTCCATTCAGCCAATTCCTGCCATTTAGCAATTTGGACGTTTATTTCTGTGGGCCATAAATCAAAGCCGGACAAACGAAAGTAAAGTGTGCAATGTAATTACAAATTAAAAGCATTGGCAGCCTAATGGCCGAACAAAAACTATGTTGCGGCGGGGCAAATTCGGGCAAAAACTATTGGCGACATTGCGAGGCGATTTAATGAAAAGCGCGGCCATTGGGAAATGAGTTTTGAAATTATATAAAATGGCAACAAAAAAAATTAGAAAACGAGGGGGAAAACAAATCAAAAACTGAAACGTTGAGAGGGAGTAGAAAGAAAATTAAAGTCACGGTTTGCAGCGTGTAAAGTGTGCGGCGGCTTGCTGATGTTGCTGCTGTTGTTGTTGCATGTGCCAGCGACACTTGCAGCGGTGGCAGCAACAGAAACAGCAACAGCAACAACAATCAGCCAAAACAGTAGAATGTAAATGTCTTTCTGGTCAGGATCGTTGTTATTTTGCGGCCGCTACAGTTGGTGCCACAAAATCCAAATTGCTTGGCAGCCATCGACAAACAACAAACAAAAGCAACGGGCCAGCAACCTGCAACCTGCGACTTGCTAGTTGCAACTGCCTCATCAATTGATTAAATTTGCAACAGCACACAGATCGTCGTCGATGCCTTTCACTTAACAGTGCACGATTTTTATTTATTTAGATTTAGATTTAATTTTGGCTCAGCCCGCTGCCATCTCTCTCTCTTCAGTAATTTGCTTACCGGAAAATACCATTAAAATTGGTCATTATACAAAAATGTGACATGTAAACTGGGCATTTTTAATACAAACATGTAGAAAGTAATAGAAGAATAAAAAATACATGTTTCTGATATTGGATCTGATTTTTTTCCCAAAGGTTTTGTTCTATTATTTGGCACAAATTCATATTTAGACAGAAAACGCATCCCAACGCAATTGAAATGTTTGGGTTAACGCTGCGGAAAATCTACAAACAATAAGCATGTTTTGTTTTTGGCCAAAAATGGCCTGAGCCTGTGTTTGGGGCCAGGAGCATAGAGCCAGATAAAATCTAGCCGGCATTTGTTGGCCGCCTGGCCACCAACAAAGTCGTCGCCATTGTTGGCAAACGGCAGTCAGGTGTTGCTTTTATTGTTTTACAATCACCACCAAGCCAGTAAGCCAGCAAGCCACCAACAGGCAACAAAGGAGACAAGAGGAGCCTCCTCATCGATATTGGCCAACTTTCACAAACAAATCTCGGCGCAAAGTCGAGCCATAAAAGCCGCAAACACAACACAATTCAAATAAAACGAAAATAGAATCAAATAAACTTTTCTCTGCCAGGCCGGCCGAACAAAAGGCTACAGTGAAAAATGTATACATATAAATAAGACAAAAAGGAAGAAGAAAAGCACTGGAGCTGTAAACTGCAAACTGCAAACTGCAAGTCGGGTCATAAAGAAAGCCCAGGGATAAAGCGGGCGACTTCCATGGAGTCGCGAACCTGGCCAACAGGCCAAATGCAAATTTCGCTCGCCTCCAAAAAGCGGCAGGCTGGCTGACCCAAAACAATGGACTTGACTGTGGGGCCCGCCGCTGCTGAAGTGTTAACCGATTGTCCAGATACGCGAGGATTGATAGCTCTCGGAAAACTGCTCCAGGACAACAGATAGGCCAGCTGATATTTTCGAGAGGAATGGATCTCTTCATTAGCCTTCGATCTTTCGGTTTTTATAGGGTTTTTTCCCCAGTGTCCGGGACTTTTCCTGGGTTTCCCACACACACGCGAGCGCGGCTAATTGGCTCTTGGAAAGCTGGCTAAATTTTTCCGCCGTCTGCCCCATTTTGAGAACCGGCAACGTGCTCCCCCAACAACAAGAACCTCTTCTCTAACTGCCCATCAAATAAATCAGCAGCAAGACGCACATGCAAACACGTCTGCCGTTACACTCGAAGAAAAGTTACAAAGTAAACAATGCGAAACATATCAATTTAATTATGGGCACTCACCTATATTTAAATAAATTCTTCATTTCCCCTTTATAACAAAACAAAATAAAAACCTGAAATCGTGATTAGTTAGCTTTTCTATTTTAATATTGCATAGCAATATAAGCATAAAAAAACCTACAAGATTTAAGTAAATTTATTTTTATTTTTTGATTTAAATAATAATACTAAACTTGATTACCTACAAATATTGGCAAATCAACCAAATTAATAAGTGGCAGGGCTTATGGGTCGGAATTGACTAAAATATTTTGATATAATATAATATAATACTAAACTTGAATACCTACAAATATTGACAAATCAACCAAATTAATAAGTGGTAGGGCTTATAGGGCGGAATTGACTAAAATATTTTATTTCATTTATTACAATTCTGAACATATATATCTAGCTTCAAAACGGAAACATTTTTCAACAGTGTAGCCATATTCCATCGCAACAGTCGGACGGCACCAGATGACGGTGTCCAATTTGCTTTTTTGGCCATCTCAGTTATCAGAGTGCGCGTTTTAATGAGTTCGAGTACGTTTTATGAGCGAAAAACTCTTGAGAAATCGGAGGAACCACAACGCACCAAAGTGGAATGCACACAAAAATGTTAGAATCTCGCCGCGGCGATAAAACTTTCGCGAGTAAAGAGCCTCAGTCGAAAAGGCCCAGGCACTCGACTCGCGAGATCTGCGGAGCTCATCATAATCAACTGGGATGGCGATGGCGATGGTATGATGGTCTTATGATGATTGTGATTGGTGTCGCCTCACCTGGGGCACTTCACCCCCTCGCTCCGCCACTCACCTGCTCTTTCTCCGCTCTTTCTGGTCTGGCACGTACGCAGATGCCTCGAGATGCAAAGATACAGAGACGCAAAACCACCGGAGGTACGTGGCATGTGAAATATGCGCAGAATGGCTAAGGAAAACGCCGTGGAATTCATGAATGAATGCCATGTGTTCTGGTTAAAACGGATATGAATGGAACGGGCCAAAAGGTGGGGAAACTCGCGCAAGTGCCTAAACGGATTTGCTGGAAAATCTGCGGGAAAATGGATAAATCCGCTGCTCCGCAAAAGTAGACAAGGGGTTTACAAGCAGATTTGGGGATTTAGTAAAGCATATTTTTAGGCAGACATCTGGCAAACAACATTTCCGAAAAAATTAATTCGATTCTTACTTGGGTTTTATTTTAATGGTATTTATAAGGAATATTTCCAGAAACGTAGTTGGCAAGTGACAGTTCAATTCAATATCCGACACTAGTAAATATCTTATCGCAACAGTTTGCTTGCTGGTAACCTTTAATATTATAAACGAAAGAAATTTTAAATTCTCGCTTCCCACAATGTCTGCTGCTTCTCAAGAGTTGGAAGTCCCACAATTTGTGAAACTAGAGACAAACGATGGCGTTCTTCATACAGTGGACATTCGTCTGACACAACAGATGGGCGTCATTGCTGACATGCCAATAATGGAAGGCGATGATGACGTAATTCCTCTCCCGCGGGTCGATGCCAAGACCCTGATGTTTATAATCAAGTGGTGCTCTTCGGTGCAGGATCTCAAAGATAACATAGATATAGAGGGAGAGGGTATCCTGAAAAAACTTTTATCAACGGAGAAGGGCACCGAGTATAGTTTCCTACTGCAGATCGTAATGGCCTCAAATTACCTGAACTTGGACAGTTTGCTACAGGCTGGAACCGAACTGATAGCTGCTGCTATCCAGTCCTGTAATTCTACAGAGGAGATTTGTAACCTTTTTACCGCAAAGAAAGATTAGAGATCTGTTGTATACAACAACCACCCAGAAATACAAAGAAGATCGATAGCTGATTAATGAAATTAATGAAATCATCCGAAGCTTTGTTAAATGCTAGAAAAAAAATAAATTTAAAATTCAATTCAAAGAATCTTATATCCTTATATAAAAACACTCGTGTTTTGTAAGTAATTAAATCTTTATTAAATCTCAATTTGTCGGTGATTATTATTCAATATTTTTCTTGTTTTTCTGTTGTTTGTGATCTCTGTTGGTTTTTGTTTTTGCCAAAACTCTCGCTACGCTTACTCCGCTACTTTACTTAACTTCTTTACTCGTACTTAACCCTTTCGCATTTGCAATTTTTCACAACTTTTTCTGTGATTTCTCCTACTTTGGCCTTGGCCCAAAAACTCGATTTTCCGATCGCTTCATGGTGTTCTTAGTTATTGCTATAGATCTTTTGTTTTACTCGTTTTGGTTTTGGTTTTTGTTTTTGTTCCTGCAACTGCAGAACTTGGCAAAGATGTGTCGAAAAATAGGGAGTAGGAAGAACCAATGGCAGAAGAACGAAAACTGGTGGGGATCGAGGAGGAAAGGCCCTGCTGTAATACGAAAGTCGGTTCTATATAGCTCGCAATCGCAATCGCAATCGCATATACCGGATATTGCTCGGGGAGTTCGAACTTCGAAGGGGTCGAAACCGACGACGCCGACGCCTCTGGCTCTTCTGCTCTAATTCTTGTGTATCGTACACTATAAATCGCTCCATAGAAAAAGTGTAAACTATGCTATCCCATATTGATAGAGTTGTATAGCTTCGGCTGCCTCATCTCATATAAATAGGTGTATACATAAATGAATATATACATATATATTCTGCCTTTGTATAGTCATTAAATATGTATAATTTATTTATTCCGATTTTATATATATTTGTTTATATGTATATATGCAATTTATATTGCTTAACTTTGACAATGCAACGCTGTGAAGCAAGAGGCAGACATAGAGAGAGATTCAGATTCAGATTCGGATTGAGCCACGGGACTGCTACTCAAACGGTTTCCATATCCGAAACCGAAGTCTATACAAGTCCCCTGCTCAGTTAGAAGTATGAAACTCGCAAAGGAAGCGCCACTGTATCATTAAACTAATGTCCTTGGGTTTATCCCCTTGATCGGTTCTCGAAATAAGTTGCTTTCTTTTTAATTTATATGCTGTGTCTGTTATCTGTATCTGTATCTTACTAAGTGTCCTTGAAACGGATTTTATTACGTTACTGTTTAGTTTAACTTTAGTTTAGTTTTACATTTACTTTTCGTCTTTAAGTTTAGATATTCACGAGCACGCGCGAGCATTTCAATTTGCATTTGCCTCAAAATTTACAATTTCTGTTTTTCGTTTTTTGGTTTTTTTTTTGTGAAATTTTTGTTTCATATTTTCTTCTTGGTTAAGTTTACTATGTGGAATGCTTGAGTAAAAGTTTCAGTTTCCGCTTTCCCTGCTTTTACAAAATAAATATTCATCGTGATGTTGTTCCATCTGGTTCCGAACTCTGTACTCTGTCTCTAAAAAGTTGTAGGTTACGTGACTTACGTCTTAAGTTGTAATTTTTCTTTTACTTTTCTCCTCGCTAAAAAACTTCATTCTGGGTCCAACTTGCTTCAGTTTATTTTTCCTGATATTTTGTTGCCATTTATTATTAGAGTTTTATATACGGTTGGGTTTCTGCAACCTGTACCCTTCATCTTCAGCTTGAGCATTGTTTTTTCTGCTTTTTGGGTTCCTTCCTATCTCTCCACGATAAGTTTTGGATTTGCAAATATTCTTTGGCGATATGTATGTACATGTTAGAAGACAATCGAGAACTTAACATAAGGAACTCAGGCTGAAAAAAAAATCGAAAACAACAAAATTATCTTTCGTAAACATGTCTTTCGAAAAATTAGAATTTATTATTCCGTATTATCGTATATGTGGTAGCTCTAAGTTTAATGTGTTGTTTTGTTTACGTTTAAGCTTTTTACAATAAAGTAATTATAAATGTAAAACATAATTTTTCGTTTAGAATTTTGTGTTGTTTAGTTGGCTTAATTCAAAAATTAAAAATGTATGGAAAGCAACAGTAGATGTAAATTAATGCCTAAGCTTTAATGAATTTTTCTCAGCCGTTTATTTGCTTTAATGTAATTATTTAATCGAATATCATTTAGTGTTTCTCCTCGTTTAATTTTATATAATATAATACATAATTGCCTTGACTCAAAAAGCGACTTAACATTTCTACAAAAGACGAATTGATATTTTGATTTACGTTGTGAAATTGGCTTGGATATCAAAGGAATTTTATTTACACACAATTAACAAATAAAGAAAGTGAAACATAAAGAACTTAAAATTAGAAAACCGAGCGGCACTCTCGCTATGATCAACAGAAACCTAAAATTATCAATTATGTTTTTGAATGTGGCCTTTTTCATTTCCTCGCTTTCTCACGTTTCCTTCCTCTTTTTTTTTTGTGTATTTTTTCGTTTTATTTTATTTGCATTTCTTTGCCGGTTTTTTTGGGGCTGAAAGTATTTCTTTCTTTTTGTTGGCTTAATTTTTTGCTTTTAAACATTTGTTGACAATTTGATGCTGCATAAAATACAATTGTTGCTTGGGTTGTTGTTGTAATTTGTTGGAAAGTTGCTGCCATTGCAATCGTCATGGCCTATGGAATCTGCAAGAGAAAGTTTTGATTAGTTTTGTTTTAGCCTCGTTCTGGAAATAGGAATGCGACCAAGTTTAAATGGCGTGTGGCAGGTCGCTTAACTCTTTAAGGAAACATTGCAACTGGCCATTGGCAGCGCACAAAATCCAAGAGCCATTACACACTTCCCCCACCCAAAGAAAAAAAAAAAAAACTAAAACCCTGCCCAAAACTGCAGTGGAAATAGAAACGGAAAAAGGTTGCCCCCACCGAATCCTTTGTGACTGCACATCGCCAAAATACATTTGTAAGGTGCCTGGGTGGCGGGTGGCTGGCGACCAAAACTGCACGTGACACTTCACTGGCCATTGGCATTGGCAATTTTTTGCTTGGCTCACTTTTTGGCCATTCGATTTGGCCGCAAGGACACGCCCGCTACATAATTCAGGCCCGTACACTGGGATGTCTCAATTGCGAGATTGCTTTGGCCCCATAACCACCCACCCACCGAACGACCCGCGGGAGCAATTTGCAAAACCAGTTAGGCACAGAGGTTATCCTTGGTCACCGAAGCGCGAAATACCCTGGCCCTTCAAACGCTCGCAAAGTCTGGAACTTAATTATTGGAAAAGCCAAATGAATCTGACATTTCTAAGCTCAAAACAACTCCAAGATGGAAAGTCCCGAAATAGGAACAGATTTTTCATCTACAGTCTTAAAAGTTCTTTTTCCAGCATTTCTAGCTGCCCTTTTAGATTGATTTCCCCAAAATATGGTTCACTTCCAGGGGTTAGAAAGCCCCTTACCTCGTCAAATGCCGACTGCCCTCGTGGACGGCCATTTCGGAGGACTTAAACTCGTTCAACTCCTTGCGAATGGCGGCCTTGTCCTTCGGCGTCAGTCTTGTCCACGGCTTGTCCGCCCGTCTGTCGTAATCGTGGGCCTGGGTGACCTCGATGTAGTCGTTGAACCGGATGATCTTCTTTTCCTTGAGCTCCTCGACGGTCGGCCGAAAGCTGAGTTTGCGCAGCAAATACGACTTCTTCTCCTCCTTCTGCTTTTTCTCCTCGGCGGGTGATTGAGCTGCACAGCAGAGGACGAATGACATTTAGTAAAATTGAATTTTCAAGTTATTCAAGGGGGGAAACGTCAACTACAATCAAGAATTATCACAGAAGGCTGTGGAATTTATGCCAGGCTGGTGTTAATTGAATCTGATTTGCAAAGATTTCCTCGATTTGATTTTGTAAAGAATTCTGAGCATAAATCATTACAATCTTTTCAATTAATTCTTGATTTTAGAATGCTTTTCCTTTTCAACCTTTAACCTTTCTACTCACTTTTCAAGATGTTGCGCTCGACGAGCTCCTCGGCCGTGGGCCGCATGGACAGCCGGCGGATGAGACGGGCCCCGATCGCCTCCTTGGACTCCTTGAGCTCGTTGTCGTTGACCTGGTGCAGGATGTTGCGGTTGATCAGGTCCTGCTTGTCCGGCCGGAGCTGCAGCTTCAGCGAGAGCGACTCCTTGCGGGCCAACTTGGCCAGCCGCGTGTTGTCGTTGTCCTCGTCCCGGTAGACGATGTGGCCATCGCTCTCGTCGCTGTCGCTGCTGCTCTCGCGTATCACAAAGGGCCGGGCGTTCTCCTTGTTCTCCACGGTGCACGGCAACTGGATGTTGAACATTTGCTGCCTGCTGTGGGTTAAGCATCAAAGGCGGCACATTAGTCGCGTCATGAGCACTGTGTCATTAGCAGGCGCATTAAACACTACAAACTACAAACAGGCATCACCACATCACAACAGCAACCACATGACAGTAACTACTAGCAACTACAGGCTCATGCACTTCGGTCTCTCAATCTCAAGCTGAATCCCTTCTCCTCCTCCTCCTCCTCTGAGTCCTTGCCGCAATCTTTGTAGGCAATCTGCCAGATTTAGCCAGCTTCTCGCACTCGCATGTGCATAAATATCCCTGCATGTGCTTAATTTATTCAGCCACGTGCACACAGTCCTAGCTTTTTCTTTATCTACTTCTGCTACAGTTGCAGGTGAAATAGTAGCAGGAATACACACATTTTAGCTGTCTGCTTTACACATTAAATCGCATTTAATAGGGGAGGCTTTAGTGGCCTATAATATGCTTATATCAACATGAATTATAATTGTGTATTTGAACTGTGAGCAACTATAATAAATCTGGTTCTCTTTAAAATTGTTGTATTTTGTATTTTTTAAAGTCTTATTTATATGTATAAGCTCTGGCTTTTAAAACAAACAGTCATTTTTCTATTATTCTTGAATTTGACTAATAAAATAGAATACACAGCCTGGATGAAATCCCTGCTATTTTTCGGTAACCCTCAACCATTTAATTTAATTCAGGAAATGAAATCCCCCCTCCTATTTTGGCAGACACGACTGTATCTGTCTATCTTTTTCCGTTTTGTTCCTTTAAGTTTTGTCACCAAGCTGGGAAAAAACGTAAAACGCCTTTTTCCACCTCTTTATTTTCCTTTGCTGCTGCGGCAGTTTGCTTTTCCCTATCCTTTTTTATGCTCCTCTTCTTTTCGTAAACGGCACGTGGAGTGCACATCTGGCGGGCCACCCACCCTCGGAAATGATATGCAAAACCATGCATATATGTACGAAAGTAGGATACGTACTCTCGTGTGTTTGACTTTGTACTTAAAGCTTTCGGGGGCTTCAGAAGGTTTGAAAGCCCGCCTCGAACGCCATATCCTGTTGGCTGCTTCCGCCGCACTTTCGGGGCGTTAATGCAAAACACGATTGGATAAAAACCGAACAAAGCCTGCGAGTTTGCAGTGGGGCCACAGGGCGGATGAGCGACGCAGTGCGCGTTCCCCGGGGGCAGATGCACGCCACTCTGCATAGTTCTCCAGCAACTGTCTCCAAGGAAGTCGAGTGGAAATGCCGCACAGGAAGTCAGTTCTGTTGTGAAGATTACTATTTTTTCGAGGGCATACGAGGGTTACTTCAAATATAACTCTGACCCTATTGGGAGGATTTTTTAGTTGGCCTTTGCAAAGGAAAATACTGTACTGTGTTTTTATTATGCTGGAATATTCCGTATTTCTCTACTAGGTAGGTTTCGTTAACCCCTTTGAAAATATTCCTGCAAACTTATAACGTTTATGTTCTCCCACACATTTCTCGAATGGCATATCTCCATCACATTTCAAGCGATTTAACCTCCATCGAAATGGCTGGTAGTGCGACATACCCATAAATTTGCCCACTCTCGCATTTTCCGATAGAGAGAAAGATAGATGTGCAGATGGTTAGATATTGGAGGGCGCCCAACAAGAAATCGCTTTTTACCAGGCACGTTTCGCTGTGAGCTGCAGCTATTTTACATATTTCCCTTTTATTTGATTTTTGTGCGTTATAAAGTGCATAAATTGTTCGCTGTATCAGTCATGTGAAACGAGAATGGCGAAGCACTCGGCCGTTTGAGTGAGGGGCCTGTCTTTGTCCTCCACTCAATTTGAATTTCAATTCCAATTTCGATGCACTGGCGGCACACTTGAAGTTTTCATTTCGCCTCTGGACAACTTAAAGGCAAAGTTTGCCTAATGAAAAAACTTGACCTACGCCGCCGCCGGAAAACTCATTTCCTTTTCGGGCTCTCCCTCTCCGCTGTTTGCATATTTTTCGAATGTGGGAAATATCAAATTAAAACTGGGAAGGCAAATTGTAATTTGAAACAAATTCCTGCTTGAAATGAAACATGCGAGACTCAGAGGAAAATACAGACAACAGTGGCAAAGAAAAGACAAAGAAAGTTTTTACGTTAAAAGAATTCTACGCACATACACACTCGGACATATACACGTACACACACATACTGACACGGGGGTAATGGAGAGGACTCGAGTGTTGTTGTTGTTATTGTTGTCGTTGGTGTGGAAAAACAAAAGGAAAAACTCATAAGAGGCAAACAACGAAAATCGCAGCAAAAAGTTAGTAATTTAATAAGAGTACAAGTTCGTGTGTGTGGGAGATGGTTCGTATGTGTGTTTGTGAGAGAACTACCAGTGTTGTAAAGTTGTAAAACTTTCAGTTTTTATTTACCCAAAAATAAAACAAAAACTTGTGAAAAAATTACAGACAGCCGAGTGTTAGAGTGCAGCTAAGTGCAAGGATACAATGAGAGCAGTTTTTTGTTTGCGGGGGATTATTTTTGAAAGGACTGCGGGGAGTGTTATACAACAGAGTGGCAGTGTAGTGTTATGTAACAACATTTAACACATTTAAAGGGAGAGAGTGAGCAGTATGCAGTATGTTTGGGTGCACTAAAAGCATTTACTTTTGGGGCTTTTATGATTGTCACATTACAAATAAATTAGCTAAAAATTGTTTACCATAGTCTAATCCGTGGTCGTAGTATTGGCCTGATTTTAGTTGAGATAGTAGTATATATAGAAGTGGATGGGTTTGGTTGTTGTTCGACACGCACACACAAACGAATCGAATCGAAATTGTATATGAAATAGAACGAACACAGGTTTTCGGGGGCAGTCGGGGAAAGGAGAAGAGAACAAATATGTTTTGTTATAGAAAATAGTTCGAGTAACAATGAAAACATAACAAATACAAAGTGGGGTTCGGGGGGATATTATCTTTTGGTGAGTTTTTCTTCGGTTTGTAGTAGGTAAAAAGTAGTGATTATACTAGAGAGACAAACAAAACTCTCGCTCTCTCTGGGCAGATTAACAAACTTTAGTTGGGTGTTGGAATAAAAACTACCAAAAAACGTGGGGAAGTTGAGGTCGGTTATGGAGGTGTTCAAAAGGGTCAACAGGGGATTAAGTAAAACGATACAAAATTAAGCTACTCAAAGGGGGAATAGGGATGTTTATGCGTTGGATTTATTATAAAGTTGATAAGTATCCAATATATGAGAGGTTATCCTCTAGTTTGAGTTTTAAAATATTTTCTAAATCTTTTTTGAGCATAAACAACCTTATATCCCCTTTCTGATCCGGTATTCCCATCTCGTACTCACTTGAGCGAATAGTTGTTGCCCGCTGCATCCTGGCGAACGACCAGGGGCCGCTGGCTGGCGGACTGCTGGGCCGCTGCTGCGGCGGCTGCCGCCATTGAGCCGATGCCGCCGTTACTGTTTGCCATGGCCGCCGCCGTGGCCGCGCTGCCCGCTCCGTGCTCCTGGGTGGGCGTGACCGGCGTGGAGGCGGAGGCCGGCTGGATGCCGCCCTTCTTCTTCAGCGCCGACTTGAGAGGAACTGCATTTGGTTTGGGCTCTTTGGCTGGAATTTCCTCGACGCGCTGCGTGTCCATCATGCGCACATGGTTGCCACCGTACGGAGCATACTCGTCGTCCGAGTCGAGCTCATCCTGATCCGGATCGTGATCTAAAGGGTAAGCATATTTGAATCAATAAACATTCAACACAACTCTCGATGAACATGGGTTTCGGATTGTAGGAGTAGGGAAGAGGAGGGGACTAGCTATTGTGGTGTCACCATTAAGTTGATAGCATCTTCTTTTTTTTTATTTTATAATAATTTCATATTTATTTTTAAGCAACTAAATTGAGGTTGGGGAAGTAAAGACATCAAACATCAACTTAATAGCAAACTTCCCCAACTAGCATACGTTATGAAGTGCGCGTTTTTGTTGATGAGCTGAGGTTGATCTAACTCTAAAGGGGACGGTTTTCGGGAGGGGTTGGGTAAAGGGTAGAGGGAGGTGGGGAATTACCATCGTAGTCGTAGTCCTGCTGGTAGTCCTGATCGTTGACGGCGCCTGGCCCGTGCGGTCGTCCTGCGATGAGCGTGGGACTCGGTGTGGAGAACATCGGGGGCGGTGGGATCGGTCCGATCTCCGAGAGCGGAATCGGCGGCTCCGGCAGCTCGCTGAGCATCACGCCCGGCGGCAGCTTGCCGCCCGGATAAGGGGGCGGGGTGCTGCCCGGCGGACCACCCACCATTTTCCCATCCTCGCCATCTGGTTAAGATCAATTACAGAAAATTGGTTCGCAATCGTGTTCGAGTTCGAGTTTGTTTGTTGCATTTTGTTGTTTTTCAGCGGAAGAGGAGAGGTGGTGAAAGAGATAGAGAGACAGAAGAGATTGTACAGAAGAAAGTCAGAAAAGAAAGCAAGTGAGCAGCTCTTCTTTGAGTCTAGCCAATGTGTATGTGAGAGTGTGCGTGTGTGCGTGGGTGAGTGACTGTTTGGGTGTGTGCGTTTTGCTAAGTGTGGGTGAACAAGTTGGCGGAAGCGAAAAGGAAACTGAGATATCGTTCATTAAGTTTGAAGAGTTCAAAGAGCAAATCATTGAAGTCCTCAAGTGAGCTCATAGTATAATTTGATTAAATAATTTTTCTTTTTTCTAGGAAATCTCAAGTGTTCTTTATATATTTTAAAGTCTCTTAAACCGTTGTTCCATGTAGCAAGTATCTCGATTTCAGTTTCCCTTGCCCAACAACCAACAACATCTTATCCACTAGTGATTTTCCCAGCATTTTCCCAAGGACTTCTCCCCCACTTACACATGTGCTCGTTGTGGTAGCAAATGTTGACCCCGCGACGGGTCAGCTTATTGGCGCCGGCGAGCGTGTTCGGGCGCTCCATCTTGCCACTCCCGTCCGCCTGGTGGAGGCCACCGCCCCCTGGGGGCGGGAGCATCGAGCCCTGGCAGGTGGGCTGCTCGATATTGGGCGTGGATATTGTGCCATTGCCTCCGTGTTGTTGTTGTGCATCAGTCTTGTCTTTTCTTGGTTCTGCAAACAGAAGAGAGCAGGAGAAGAGGTCGAAATGAGTCGGGAGCAAACTAATTTATATTTAAAAGTAGCCAACACAATCCACTTGGCAGCTTATATACGTGCACTTGACAAGCTTTTACTTTAATTGTCGTGTGTGCTGGTCAGAGGCTTTTGGTCCTCCGGTGTCCTTTGGACGCTCGGAAAATTGCCTGCCGGCCAGCTGCTCTTGCAACCACTTCACCGGCCACAAAGCTCTCGTATGCACCGAAAAAAATATACTAGTTTGGGGTAAAACAATGCATACGATACATCAGATCCAATGTTTTTATTTAGAACCATATTACCATTACATTTATAAGTTTAAGAAGGTGTTAAGCTGTCTTTAAGATATATTGTGACTTATTTTTGGGACAATTTAAATTTTACACTTTTCTCCAAGTGCCCGCATGTCCCTGCACTCTTTTTTTCGCCTCTGTTCATTTTCTCCTTGCTCGGGAGTAATATTTTTAATTGTTGTTAAAGGCTTAAGCGCTGCCAACTCGGCTGGGTCAAATTGTGGCAAGGACCTTGGTTTTGTTTTCCCCCTGGCGGACATGGCGGATGCGCATTATTTTCTTGTTAAAATGAAGTGAAAGGTGGAAGAGAGATGTGTGGAATAACAAGCCTCAAAGCGACCGGAAACTGCCCGAGTCCCAAGTATCTCGCAGCACTTTATTTATAGACATTATCCCACCACAAAAATTGGACCGGGGAAAATATCTTATTTTCCTACTATTAGCGCAGAGATCACGCTATTAAAATTCCAACCATAGCAGACAGCCAGAGAAGATCGCTTACAAAAGCAATTAAAGTGAAATTCCAAATAGATTTCGCCACTCGCTGATCGGTTGACAGACAGCCAAAGAAGAGCCATCGAAAATCCTGCGCAATTCCCACACAGAAATATTTATGGCCTAAGCAGAAAAATTAAAACATCGCTCACACGGTCATCACACGATTAATTGGCAGTTCGACCAGCAAATGAATTCCGATTTTTCAACAAGTTGCGTGGCATAAACAAGCCACAGCAGTGAATAATTCATTGAATATTAAATGCAAATGTGCAAAAGAAAAAATCGGATTGCATACCAGGCGGGTTAATCGCACGTAAATAAATATCAAAGCGGCTCAAAATACGCAGCACAAATTGCCCAGGGGCGGGCATATTATATACGACTATACTATTCATATGTGAGCAGGGGGCGTGGCAATCGTCAGCACCTCGCAACTATTCAAAACAGATTCGAATTCCGCTGGCGAGTTGCCAGCCACCGAAAGACTTGACGTGTTTGCCTAAATATGTTTTTTAAACAAAGTATTTTGCCTGGTTCGTTTTTTGTTTGACGCGCTGAAGTAATGAAATTATTTTTTGCATCAAGTTCAAAACAGCAAAAGGAAAAGCGAGAGTTTGATGTCTGTCAAACGGAAAACCGCAGAGGAAAATGCCTTGACTTTGACATAGGCGGCAAAGCTGCTCGAAATATATTTGATTAATTGCTAATATTTATATTTATTAAATATAGTATTAAATACTATTAAATAAAACTAAAATAACTCAATGTATTTTAATTTCAAAACCCGCTAAAGCGCATTCAAAATTAAGTAATTATATTGATGCCTGTCAAATGAAAAACTGACGAGCAAAAGGCCTTGACTTTGACATAGGTGAAAACGTTGTTTATTGCATACTAAATACGGGGGTAATGTATACAAAATTGAAACTAATGTAAGCAAAACGAAAACCAATTAAAATTCACTATCAATTATGCAAATGGAGATAAAACGCTCTGGCGCTTGGTCATTTATCAATTAGAGCTGACAGCCTGCAAACTCTGAACAAAAAGTGGGTCTCCTAAATTAGGAGGATATCTTTGGGCTTTGTGTCGGATGAAAGCACACCCACTCAACTAATTTTCCAAATCTTTTTGGGATATCAGTACACAGCAAAAAACGTAAGTGCTCAACGCTCAATTGACCTACGTAAGTATCTTTGCCTTTTTCCAGGAATAAGTTCGATGACAACCGCAATTCAAATTGAGTGTTTTCATCTGCAAAGACCTTCGAGTCGTCGGCTTTCCCGCGTAATGATTCGAGGAAAGTCATTGAGTAAAGTTTTCCCGCCCGCCTTTCTCTCGTCCTCGAGTTCCCATTTACACCCGAATATTTTCCCCTTATCAGACATCTCTCGTTCCCTCTGTCTGAGGAACAATGTGCACACTAATGACATTAATTAAGCAGAAAGTTTGGCCTCTAATTAGCAAACACACACAAAGGCAGGCGCACGATTGCGGCCGAACACAAACATGGCTAAAATCATTATCGCCATCGCCCCGCCTCCCCCTTCCGAACACTTAAAACAAAACTCTAATCAATTATCCCAAGTCTGGCCTGCAATTACAAATGAGGTAATTTCGGGGCAAGGGGACAGCAGACTGTCTCCTTAAAGACGGCACTTAATGCCTAAAGTGTTGGCTTAATTTCCGACAAGTTAACAATTCACTTACATTATTCACTTGCCGAATCAATTATTTAAAAATCATGTCAAATGCGATTCTCGAAAACATTTCAAAGAGCTCCTCACACCCAAGTTAATTAAAGTTTCCCAGCCACAATATGATTTCCACGCACGCAATAACAAAGTTTATTTTGTGTGGGCGACACTGTGACGTCACACGGGATTTGGATTCATGTTAAACGTAATGCGGAGATTTATTTATAATTCAGTCTGCCCTCCGTGAAAATCGAATGCGAAGGGGAACGAGCATTCGGCAGTGAACAATTCGTTATGCAGCCGCCAACTAAATGCGCGGCCACCCACACAATCGCATATGAACAGGTACACGGTGAGAAATTTATTGACTTTTAAATAATATTCATCAAAATAAAAAAGGGAAATATTAAAATCTAATGGGTTTTAAATATTAATAATTTAAATAATAATTTAATAAGTATTCCCTTCACTTTTTGTGCAATTCTTATTTTTCTGTAGAGGGAATGATTATTCTGTCCTCTCGACAGAGCCAAGGGAACGACAGTCGAGGGCCCACTGTAACTGCAGGCAATGTGTGGATATTTGATAAATAAGCAATGAGCATTGTACATTTGCGGTGGCAAAGGGGAAAAAGTGAGGAAATAGCCCTGGGAATGCTGCAAAAAGCCGCAGGCAACAAATTTTCATAGCTCATTTTCAGTTTTTGCATGGCAGGCGAAGTCTGAGGACATTTGGGGAACAAGCGAGAACGTATAGAGGGGGACCACCCGGATGAGGGGCAGAGATATGTGGGCTCCCTTAAGAGATTGACAGGCCCAGGGAAAGCTTGACGTCACAACGAAATTACATTACTCATACGCCATGTGCCCATGAGGAGCAGCAGCGCCAGCAGTCGGTGGTTAAGAATGGCTGGATATCAGGCAACAACACGTGCACTTGACTTAGCCCTGGGTGCAATTTATACACCACACCCCCAAACCCCAAAAAAAAACTGCATCTTGGCCTCCAAATGGCTAAAATTACAAAACTACATCACGTATACGACGCGCTGCACAGCAAACAACTTGGCAATTACAAGAATGTTGCACACCCCCGTCCCATTTGCAGCGGCTGTGCAGGCATTAAATCAACACTCAGTCACAATTCATTAAATTTAATTAATGCACCCACCTCGCTCTCGTTAGTTCAATGAGAGGAATGAATAAAGGAAAAGTGATTTAAATATATATGCCCGTTTTCACAGAGAACACAACGAAACCAAACACAAACTGTAAAGACATTAAAAAGATATTACTATCCTGAAAATGACTCTTCAGTTGAGGTTTCAACGACCAGGAAACTTTGCTCTGGTATTTTGTTTAAGGTGTCCATAAAAACGTAATATTGTTTTCCACCTTCCTCCGTAAATTCCCCTATCAATTTGGGGTTCTGACATGTAAAGCTCTTTTGCAAGTCCTCTTCTGCCTGTTAACTCGTCGCAATTCACAAGTTTCTATTTGCAATTCGTCTTTTCACAGTTTTTGTGTTTGTCGAAGCGAAAAACATTTTCCACTCGAACAAGTGCACTTGACGATGGCAAATTTTATTGAATGTAAAGCAACAGACTGCGAAAAAGGGTTTGCTCGGGATACGTTCACGGGAAATTGTCAAGTTGAGCGAATAAACTATATGAAATTGGGGTTGCCCATTGGCTGGCTTTATGCCCTTTCACCTACGCTAAGCTGTTGCTTCTCCGCAGCAACATGTTTTTTACCACGGACTTCCATTAGCTGCCATTTACCAAAACAGACACGCCACATTTCACCCGAAAGTATCTGTGAACTTTGGCCTTTCCACGCTGTTTACTTTCAATATTCGGCTCGGGAATAAAAAATAAAGAAATACCGAGCATACCAGAGGCGCCATTGGCACCCCGCTGCCGTCGACGACACATTGGCCCACAATTCGCTGGCCGAGATTGAAATGCGTTTGGCATTTAGCTGGCTAATGCAAAAATAAACACATCAAACAGCAGGCTGCTTTGGGCCGAAGGCACGGAGCACAAATACCTGGGCGAACAATTAAAAGTTTTACGATCCAAAGTAAACAAAACAATGCAGCAGCGCCAAATTAAAAGGCGATTAAAAATAAATTAAGTTTACTCGGCAATTGCTATAAGCCAAATGGCAAACGCAGCGGGACGAGATGTAACATTTAAGTTAAATAATGTTTGAGTTTTTCACTTTGCAACGCCCACCCAGAAAATTTCTTGCTTGAAATGTACACAAAGGTGAAGGTCGAGTGCCTCACAAACATAACCATCAGTCCACTCAAATTTTCGCAAAGGAAAAACAACATTTTTTTTATATTTGCTTCCCCATTAACGAAATTTCTTAGCCAATGATTTGTCATCGCCATGAACAATTCGGAGGTGACGACTGATGGCCAAATCAAGTGGGTGGAATTCAACAAAGTTGTATTGGTTTTAGAATTTGTTTACAAACGGAAA